AATTATTAAAATAATATAATTTTAAAATAGTTTTTTTCATAATATTTAAAACTTAAGATGAAAAGGTACTACTTTCATACTTTTTTTATTTATAAGAAAAAAAAAAATAGAACCACGTTAATAACTTGGATGTGATTCTTGTAATTTCTTTAACCAATGGGGTCATTTACATCCATCACAGCGTGGAGTTCGAAAAAAAATTTGTAAACTTCCATCAAATGGCGCGGGGTCCGCCCGCGAAATAGAATTGATGACTTTCGCGAACAACTCGTGGCTGTGGGTTGGGAGAGATATACGTATTGAATTCGAGTAGGCCGAGGTATTCAAATTCTGCCTCCACTCAATCGGTTGTGAAAACTATATCGATCCCATGCCATTTAATGTTGACGTCTCCAAAACAAGATATATATTTACAACTTACAAGTGTTAGCACTAGCAGCCCTGGTTAATTAGCTAATAATGTACATTTAACACTTTGATTTAGGTTAAAATTTAAATCTTTATTTAGATAATTGTATTTTTTTTCTTTTTTCAAAATGTTCCCTGTTCACAAAAAAAAAATACAAGTGTTATTTTCTTTTTCTATTGATTTGTTGTGAAATTGTTGTTGGCATAATTATTTTTCACCAAAATAATGTTTAGTTTTATTGGTTAATAAATTTATCTAACTTTTTTATTGGTTTAACTGTGGGGCAAAGTTTTTATACACTCACTAATTCATTGAGTAAAAATATTTAAATTGTAAATAAAAATTATTACCTATTAAATATTAATTACTAATAACTTCTTTTTATAGTTAAACTAAATAAATTTAAACATTTTAATATGATGTGTTAAGAGCTTGAGATTTAAAATTAGGAATCTCAACTTCAAACATCCAAATGGGTAAAAAATAATTAAGAAAAAGAATGTTTATTTAATGTTACATAACCTCCTATCTAATATACCAAAAAAAAAAAAAAAAGATCAACTAAATTTAAAGTTATATATGCTAATGGGTGGGTATTTTTAGTTTCATCTGCATGATAAATATTTTGGACTTAATCTTAACCATGATTACACCATGAGGAGAGACACAACAGACTGCATTTGAATTTTGAAGTCTCATCATGATCTTTGGTAAAATATTACTCTCTCTCTATATCTATGAAACCATGATTACTTAATTAGGGGAAAGGGTTTCTCAATTCCAACTACCCCTTTAATCAGTTCGGATAAAATTTTAGTTTACAACTTTTTATTTTTCAAAAAATAGATTCATATATAACATTAAATAAATAAATATATACATATTGAATCATAATATTTTCTTAATCACAATGTAGGTTAAAAAAATAAAAATTCTAAAAAATATTATGTTTTGACTGACCTTTTCTTGGTCATTTCATATTGCTAAAAAATATAGTCTCAACATAATATGAGCATTCAATCTAAAATTAATTAGTAATAGATTGAGTGGGTTTATATCATATTATCACATGCTTTTTGTTTAATTTTCTAATGTAGGATTTCCCACTTTAACATAGATTAATAAACTTTCTTTTTCTCTTACTTGAAATTAAAGTTTGAAGTGGTTTTATATAAATTTTTTATAATTTCAAATTAGATAATAGGGTATAACTCTTTTCTATTTTTTTACATATCTCACTTCTATACTAATGACTTAAAATATAACATATATTACTCTCAATAAATTACTATCAAACCGCTTAAATAATTCACATTTTATATAAAATTTTAATCAACAAAATTCATTAACATTTTTTCAATTAGCTTTCTTTTCTTAGGGGCTGTTTGAATTAGTTTTTTTTTAAATATAATTAATAGTTAAAAATTGATAATTATTATTTGAAAATAATATCTATCAGCCTTATCTCCTAAAAATTAAGAGAAAAATCATTCCAAAATCACGTCGTTTCAATAAATTTTTATTGAAAAATATTAAACTACTATATTTTTAAAGCATGCATTAAAGTGATTTTGATTTTTTTTTTTAATTTTTTAGAAGTAAGACGAACAAGCACTAACCCCTTATTATTTTTATAATTTAAAATATTTAATTTATTTCCTTAAAATTAAAAATTATAAGTATTTATAAAAACCTAAAACAACACCCCTTAAATTAAGTAATGATTGCTTGCTTAGGGTTTGTTCCCCATCTTCATGACCTAAGCTCTTGAATTCCACCAGAACGTGCCAATTTTGGTTGTTAGTTTGGGCTCGCATTGTTTTTTTGGGCCATAAGTTCGGGCTGATTGTTAAACCCAGACTTCGCAACAACAGATTAGTAATGGCGCAGAAAGGCTCACGGGACGGGAGTCATCGCTAGGAGCGTAATTCCGTTACAAGTAACGGCATGGACCGTGCACCCCACAGTTCTTTGAAGCGCTTGTTTCAAACCCAAGATAGGACATTAGTTATCTTTCTTTGGACGCACACACAGCTCATGTCGGCAAGTCCACATCAAAATCACCGTCCTTATCCTTTCTTGGGTTAAAAAATTATTTTATTACTCCTATCATCCCCCCAAATAAT